CTCCAGTGATATCTGTGAAATGTAAAGTGTTTCATAGTGGAGTGAATTTGCTTTGTTTGTGCCTGACTGTGTTTTCTGGATCTTTAATTCTGTGTTCTGTTGTACTCGCTCTAGATGATGACTGGATTTACTGAACTTGTTAATCAGTAAATGTAGCTGCTTAAGCTTATATGGTATAACTGTAGAAAATCAGACTTTCTTTTCTGGACTGCTGCAAGTTTTCAGGCGAAACTTTGCTGCTCAGTAGAATTTGGCTTGTTATAAACAGTAGATAAAGTTACCAACCAGAACATGTCAGTATGCATTCATTGTTCTAAACTGCAGCTGCACTTTTAATCTCTGAAAGATACTGATGGTTGTGTGTCCTTGGCTATATTTTCTGTTGTTTAAGCAAGTAGAATATTTTCAAAAGAAAATAGCTTAGTGAAGTAGTTATTTGTCCTGTTTAATTTGCATATGTTGTTGTGATAATATTTGCTTCACAAATAGGAGAAAAGGGGTGATTTTATAAAATAATAGCATGACAGTCTTCCACCTAATCAAGAATTTATGCAGAATCATTGCATCTGTTTTCTGAGAACTGTATCTTTAAACTATGAATCATAGAATCATTTGGTTGGAAAAGACCTTTAATATCATTGAGTCCAACCATAATGTGCCCACTACTAAACCGTGTCTCTAAGCACCTCTTCTACCCGTCTTCTAAATACCTCCAGGTAAATATCTCCAGCTATGGTAACTCAACCACTTCCCTGGGCACCCCGTTCCAGTGCCTGATAACCCTTTCAGTGAAGAGGTTTTTCCTAATATCTAATCCTCCCCTGAACAGCAAATAAAATTACTAGCAAGGCTGTATTTAAAACCAAAAGTATTAGTTTGGCAGAAAACCTGGAATTAGAATTTATATCACAGTCTGTTTTTTAAAAAAAGCTTCTATTTTTTTGTAATAACTACAAGAAAACATCAAGCAGCCCCACAAACAGGGAAAATCTCTTCCTAAGTATAGTTAAAGTATCTCACTTCTTTTTGTAAGCTTGAGAGTAAACAAGCTGTTCTGTCGTAACATTTGAGGGCCTCAGCAGAGTTAATGAAGATTAAAACGGGACAGTTGGAGCTGTCAGCTCCTCCACTGTATCACATGTCAGAATTTCGATTGGAACACAAGGCTGACTGCATTTACCTGAGTCTGCCAGTCTGCAAATGTTCACGGCTGAGGTGTGTACTTAGCCATCAGGGTGTTCAGATGTTCTCATTTTTGACGTGGTGACATCCATCAGAGGAGTGGGGCAGGCAGATGAGAGAGGAACAGCTTTGGTCCTCTCTTTTTAATCTATTGCTGTAAGCCTGCCAAAGCCTGAGATGCCCACTGTATGATGGCTGTAGCTGTAATTAAACAATTAACATCATTACAGGTTTTAGGTTTTCATCACAAAGGCTGTGTGTGAAGAAAAGCCAGTAATGCTTTTTAAAATTTAAAAATGTTTAAAATATGACAAAAACAGTGGTTTTTGTGTATTGTGAAATATTTTTAATATTATCTAGTTCATGGGAGTATTATCCACTGTGGCCTGACAGCCTATAAAATAGGAACTCTAAGTAAAGCCTTCAAATATTTGAACGTTAGAGCCAGCTGTCTTGTTTTCTTGTAGATGTAATGAGGATTTATACTTGCATTTTTTTTTTCACAGTTCCTGAAAGAGAAAGTGTTTTATTTTAAAAATTGTTGTTTTAGCACCTTGATTTCTACAAGGTTTTGTCCTTTGGTATACTAAAATTAAGTGTTTTCTTAGTATAATACACATGAAGACTGATACACTTATTTCTTTATAGTTTGAAATATGTGAGATATATTAATAGTTAATTAAAGGTAGATTATTAACCTCAGTACTGTGTCCACGATACTCTAGGGGTTCTGGTGTTTTGTGGTTGATTTAGGGGGAGTTGGGGTTTGGTTTTGTTTTGTTTTCTAGTTATTTAATACTTTTAGCAACTTTGCAATATGTTTGAAAGTACAGCTTTTGCAGTCACCCTGAATGTGACAGGTAAAAAAGGATGGAGAAATACACAGAATGGAGGTCCAAGATAATGGAGTGTATTGACCTTTGCTGTTTCCTTCCATTGTTCTTGCTCCTCCATTTTTCCACTTCCCTTAGCCTTCTCTGACTCTTCTTTGTTGTTCCTTTGTTGGGTTTCTCTTCCTGCTCCAGGAGGTCTTAAATGGAGTTCAAATTCATAGTGTCTGTTTACTTTTCTTTACTAAATGAATTTGACCCCTGAATTAATTCTGGCAAATTTCTTTTAATATCTAAAGAAGACTTTGATAGTGAGACTCCTTTATTTTCTTCATTAAAATAATAACTTGGTCTCTGGCATTGTATTTAGAGAAACCTGTGCTAATTCCTTCAGGTGAAGTAACCCTGCTGTTGAGAAGGAGCTGCAGTTGGTTTTTAGAGAGAGGAAGAGGTTTTTGAGGGGAGCTGTCCTGCTAGAAGAAAGAATTGGGTGGAAACCAGCATATTCTGAATATTGAGCCAAACCTTTTAATTCTGCTGTTGATTAGAATATCTAAGAGAGATGGTTCGTGCTGAGATACATAGGATAGTGAAACTGGCTGCAGAGGTTTGTTTTTCTATGAGACATCATGTTTTAGTTTCCTCTTGATGATTATTCACCATCATTTAGTGATCTTGGTTTTGTCAGAGTAATTACAGAGTAATTACTCAAGTCTCCAGCTCGGTTCAGAGGTTTATTCCCTCCAGGTTTTACATCAGTCTGACAGGGTCTTGTGTTCCATTCTTGTGTTCCATATACACACAGCTCTTACTGTCACTGCATTGCCTCTGCCACTGGACAGCAACAGATAGTCAAGTAAAACTATCCACAAAACCAGCTTTTACAGAAAGAGAGAATGGCATTTAACATTAAAAGTGCAAGTAGGCTTTAATTTATTGTTTTCCAGAACTGAAAGAGTTTTGGCACTGTTGTGGTTTATACAGTTGTTCTATCACCCGATGACCCTTCCCGACCTGGGGAGGGGAATAAGGAAAAGGAAAGTACATCTGTTGGTTGAAATAGAAATAGATTTAATAAAATAATAATAACCTAATATTAGTAATAGCATTACTATTAAGTATACAGGATTATACTCAGCCAATATTGTGGGCTAGTAGGCCTTAAGGGTAGGATGGTAGACAAATCCCTCTTCAGGTGTCAGCCATGAAAGAAGGAAGAGGGAAGAAGCTGGGCCATTCCCAGCAGACTCCCCAATTTGTAGTGAATGTGGCAATTATGGTATGGAATAATACAAATTGGTCAGCTTGGGGTCAGCTGAGGGTCAACTACCCTGGCTTTGTGCTTCCCCCAGCCTCTGTATTTGTTTATATCAAAACTGCTGAAGACCTTGATAATCACATACCAGTGTTAGCTGAAAGCTATAACAAAGTGTCTTACCCTTAAAAAAATTGCAGTTCTCCTGGACAAAAAAACCCCTGACTCTAAAATTCTGTCCCAGTAAACCAAGACAGGCATGTGTAGGCTGGAGTTAGCATTCCTGTTGGTTCTGAAAAAGGTGCTATCAGCCTTTGAAATAGAATCATAGAATGTATTGGGTTGGAAGGGACCTTTAAAGATCATCTAGTCCAACCCGCATGCAGTAAGCAGGGACATTGTTAAATACTATCAGTATTTTTCCATTTCTGCTGCTGTTGTGGTTTAATCTCAGCCAGCAGTTAAGCACCATGCAGCCACTTGCACATCTCCCCCTGCCCTCAGTGGGATGGAGGAGAGAGTTGGAGGAAGAAAGGAAAAAAAAGAAAGCCCTCATGGGTTGAGATAAGAACAGTTCCATGATTGAAATAAATTATTATTATTAATTATATTATTATATATTGTTGTTATTATTTGAAATTGTAATGAAAACAAAAAGAGAGGCATAACCCCAAAAAACCAAGTGATGCAACCACTCATTACCTGCTGACAGATGCCGAGCCAGCCCCCAGGCAGCCATTGCACCCCCCTGGGCAATTCCTCCCAGCTTACATACCGAGCATCATGTCTTATGGTATGGAATATCTCATTGGCCAGTTTGTGTCAGCTGACCTAGCTGTGTCTCCTCCCAGCTTGGAAGGGCAGGGGCAGTAGGAAAGACTGAAAAAGTCCTTGGCTTACTGTAAGCATTGCTTGGCAACAACTAAAACATAAGTGTGTTATCAACATTATTTTCAGCACCAATCCAAAACATAGCCTTGTATTAGCTACTGTGAACAAAACTATCCCAGCCAAAAGCAGCACAGTTGCTCAGCAAAGTATCTGTTTTGAAATAGCAACTAGAGGTTTCTGGAACAAGCCCACAGTTGGAGGATTGTTAATCTGGAGGAAAGTTTATTCTTATGAATGACAATGAGATAATCAATGAAAAAGTTTATTTTCAGAGTCTTTAGAAACAAATGGTGAAGACCATGTATGTAAAAGTGCAACTCAAAGGCATGACCTTTCTTACTGTGCTTTAGTTACCTAAAACTTATAACCTAAGACTGTCTGGTGTGTTTTACTCTCCTGGGCTTATGTTTAAATGTTGACTGGCTGGTGCTAACTGCTGGCTATAAAATGATTGCTGATTTGTGAAGAGTACAGTCTTTCAGTAAGTATAGTGAAGATACCCAAAATAAAAGCTGCTTTGTCTCAAAAAATTGCTTATATTTGAAGTCATTTGATTCCAAGGCAACTAACACCAGCTCTGTGTAGGTTATTTTGACTGTTGTTATTTTTTAACATTTAGAGTCGTAAAATAACATTACTTTGATCCAGAATCAGTCAGACAGACATTTGTCTTTGTATCACAGTGCATTTGCTTTGGGCTTTGTATAGCTTGTGTATTGGTTTCTGTTAGTCTTCATAGTCACACTGAATGGTGGAATAATGTAATTGATGAAATAATCTATTTAAAATAATAACATTTTTTGTAATTTTTTCTTCTCTTCAGCTATAATCTTCTGATAATCATGGAGCCATATTTTGCTGGTTTTAAGCACGTGCAGCAGGACTATGAAGTCACTCTAGAACTCGCAAGTGAGGAGACTCAAAAAACTAAAAATGCACAAAATTCTAGGACAGGGTCTTATGGTGTCAGTATTAGAGTCCAAGGAATTGATGGACATCCTTACATAGTACTAAACAATACAGAAGGATGTTTGCCAGAAAATCCTCCTCCTCCTGGAAAAGAACAGCAGGTCATTTCTCAGACTGTAAGTAAGCCAGACATAGACTCCAATACTGCTTTTAAATTGGAGGACAAGAACAGTGAACACACAAAGTTTCCTGGGACACTGCACGTGCAACCCTGTATGCTTAAAAGCCTAAAGATAACCAATCTGGATGAAAAGGAAAATGGAATATCAGATCCTAAAGATGGAGCAATGAAGTCCTCCAATTTGTTGAACTTTCAAAGACATCCTGAACTTTTACAGCCTTATGATCCTGAAAAAAGTAACTTGAGCTTGGATAATTATCAATCCTCTGTGTGCAGTATATCTAGATCTTTTGCAGATGAAGATAAAAATGAAGCGAAGCCTTGGATTTCCTCATCTAAAGTGGTGTCCGTACAGAATACAAATACATATCTTGCAGAGCCAACCAAAGCAAATTCAAAAAAGATACCTTTGAACAGGTCAGTAGAAGTGGAAGACCAAAATAAGCAGCTGTTGGATTGTCCCAGTAGCACAATCAGCTCCAGTGAAGTGTGTGTTTCAGAATCATTTTCATCTGCAGGAGGATCCCCATGTGTTAGTCCCACTGCTTATCCAGAGCCAAGAAAGCCTAGACCAGACGTTCTTCCCTTCCGCAGACAAGATTCAGCTGGGCCAGTATTGGATGACTCACGAAGATCATCATCCTCATCAGCTACTCCCACTTCTGCAAATTCCTTATACAGATTTTTACTTGATGACCAAGAGTATGCCATCTATGCAGACAACGTTAATCGACATGAAAATAGAAGATATATTCCTTTTTTGCCTGGAACTGGTCGTGACATTGACACTGGTTCACTTCCAGGAGTGGATCAGCTAATTGAAAAGTTTGATAAGAAAGTTGATCCTCACAGAAGAGGTAGGTCAGGAAAAAGGAACAGAATTAATCCAGATGATCGTAAAAGATCAAGAAGTGTTGATAGTGCCTTGTCAGTAGGTCTTGATGTAAATTCAGATCATTTAGGTGAATTCAGTAAAAGCATGGGTAAGTCAACTGAGCACTTGCTGAGACCATCTAAAGTTTGCCTTCACAAGCAGCTATCCAGAGATCAAAAGTCACCTTCCAAAGAGATTAAGATTTCTGCTCGAAGTATTGGAAAACTGCAGACACCTGGTAAAGACGCTCAGAACAGCAACTTCAGTTCTTTGCAATACCATAAACAGAATGGAGCTGATACTGAGAGCTTGATGTTTAGGTCATCTACACTCCCAGGACAAAATAAAAGAGAGGAAGTTAGAACAGTAACCTCTACTTTGTTATTGCCAAACCGAATCACACTTCCACCTGATTCAGGAGCCAAGAAGATTTCTGTAAAAACATTTTCATCTGTCCCTAATATACAGGTAATGTTGAATTTACTCTTTAAGTTGTGTTTTGCACTCTAGCATACCCAAACTCTCATATTGTTAAATGCACATTTTTCTGCTCTTCATTAGAACAAACTCCCATCACACGAGACTTCCAAATAGGATAGCAGAATTGTTCTGGAGAAATGCAAATACAAAAAATTATTCTTCTAGTTGCAGTTATAGAAAGCACAGTTTGTAAAACAACTTATTCTTGTGCGGGTGAAGGAAGATGGTGGGGCTAAAGAAAATTATTGAAGATGATGTTCTGATGATTCTTAAGCGTAAGTGCACAGCAGTAGAATGCTGAAATATATGTAACTCCATGCAGAATTATATTTTCTTTCTTTTGGTGTGGAGTGTGCTTTCTTCTCGCAGTAAGCCAAAACCAAAACTCCGATGGATCTTTGTGAATCTTTAAGTCCACAGTACATAATTTTTTTCATAATAGAATAGAATGGAGAACTTCAGTTATACAGGTTGTATTTGTCACCACCATATGATTATGTTTTTCACATAATGTCTTGTCCTTTTAGGCAACTCCTGATCTCTTAAAAGGCCAGCAAGGTCTTGCACAGCAAACGAATGAAGAGACTGCTAAACAGATACTTTACAATTACCTTAAGGAAGGGTTAGTAAACATAGTTAGCTTTTGGAAAGAAGACTGTATTTTCTTAATGTTTATTTTCTATTGCATTTAAAATGTGAAACTGTAAAATCAAAACAGCAACTAAATGAAATGTCTGTTTCATAATTCTGTGCCTCAGCTGTGTCCTTTAAGGCATTATAGGACACACCTAGGCAAACAGGACTTTTTGCCTTAGGTTATTGCATAGAATTTGGTGAAATGTACTTGAAATTTGTGAATCAGAATATGTTTTGTCTTTTTAATACTTCTGGAGTTAAACTTCATGTGATATGGGGGGTTCATTACGAATTCAAATCATACCTCGTGGGCGTTTAAGCTTGTGGGTTTTTTAAACAACAGCAGAAAGTGGTATCTCTTAAGGTTTGACAGAAGCTCTCGTGCTGCTGTGCATTTGATCTTTTTGTCCACCTTAAACTTTTTTACTTGTTATTTTCTAATGATAACTTATTGAAAGGTGAAGGAAAGAGAAATTAATTAAAATATACATGATGCACTTATATTTCTTTGCATTCCTGATGTAGCAGGATGTGGGAGCTGTTGAAGTGTTGTTTTATGGTGGAGTTGTCAGGACTTGAAAAACCTAGTAGTTCTAATTTCAGTATGTTTGAATAATATACATGCTGAATACCTGTCTTTCGACAGCTGTAGTCTTGCAGAAGTTGCAATTAAAGACTTCAGTGAGGATTTTTTTTTTTAATTTGGAATATAAATTTTTAACAGCCTCCCTTTAAACGGTTTAATGAAATCATAGTTAAGATAATTTCTGACTGGTTCATACTCGGGTTTTTTAATGGTGGTGATTTTCAATAGCTTGGACAGTCTGAATTTATCCTGATGTTAATAAAATAGTACCTTTGATCATATTGTTGCTTACTTGTACTGTCTGTGTTTTAGAAGTGCTGATAATGATGATGCCACAAAGAGGAAAGTCAACTTGGTTTTTGAGAAAATTCAGACTTTAAAGTCAAGAGCTGCTGGAAAGACACAGGTTAAAAAGTTTTTAAAGTTGTTTTGGCTTGTTTCATAGTGACAACAGTGTTCAAACAAGTCTTTAAAAATTTGAATCCCCTCACTGACTTCAGTTAGGTAGTTCTTGTAGTCCCTCAGCAGTGTAGCTTTAATTTTAATCATGCATTGAGGAAAAGCTAACATACATAGCTTTAAAAAATAATGGCGGAGCATCTTCTCATTATGCCGATGTAAATAAATCTCTTAAGTGAAGCGAGTATTTTAATTAATGAGAAAAGCAGTAATCTAGGATATCATTTAAAAGACATATTCCAATGATAGCATTTAACACTGCCTATTGAAAAGTTTGTGTCCTGCCATGTGGTGCACTGTTTTTTCAGTTCTGAAGCTAAGTGAAGAAACGCCCAATTATTGCAGTGATAGCGTGAGATTAAAAGATTAAATGCTTACTTTTGATGATTATTTTATCCTTGGGTACAATTAGTCAAAATAAAAATATAAAACACATCTTAAGAAATTACCAAAAAAGCCAGTGTTTGAAAATCTGTCTTGACATATAAGCATGAATCTCTTTGATGTCCATTTTTTCTGTTTGGTGATACCTCAGTCAAACTCGGCTCCAAGTACTTGTGATTTATTTCATACGTTGCCTGATTTGAAGTTTTCTTTAAGTTTGCGTATTTTCTGTATTATATGCAACATGCCTGAAGCAATTACAAAGAAATTTTATGAAAATCAAATCATGGTTCCTTTGAAAATATTAGCTTGGCTTGACCCATGTGAAAAGTCCCTGGTGAGCTCAGGCAGTTGGTGCTACACTTTATTAGCCTTGCTTGTAGCTCTACTTGAGATTTTAAAAAAACAGTTGTCAAAGAACATCTTGGCTGTGTGGGAATAAACATGTCTGTTTAATTGTAGGTTTCGGATTCTTCAGCTGAAGTAAAGGCATTGGTGGAACAAAAAGCAGAACTTGAAAGGAAAGTGGAAGAATTAGAGAAAAAACTGGATCTAGAAATTAGGGTATGGCTCTCTGTTGTTACAAGGCTTTTGACTATTTCAAATATACTTAGAATTCTAAGTAAGTGGGAACTGATAAACCAGCTGAATCTTTTTTGCTTCATATTCTTTTTAATCCAGATATACCTATGCTTCTACAGAAGACCATTTGTTTTAAGTGTAGTTACTCATAGCATTTTTAAGAAATCTCTTAGTATTTAAGGAGTTTGGAGCAGTGAATAAAAATGTGCACACGCACATAAAATTTCTTAGGTATCTGCAGAGGTAAATTTTCATCTGTTGACTACAATGAGACAGACATGGAATGAGAGACAAACTGTTACTCATGTAGCTGCTGTTTAGTAATTACAGCATTATTTTTGCAGTGCTGGATTCAAAGCAATTAAGCACAGCCATGCTCTGAAGACATGAGGAGGGCATCTTGGCTTCTTTCAGTTTGCATTTTGAATCTGTGATAAGAATCAATATACTTGAAACTAATTAGATACCGAGGAGACTTCACTTCTCACCTTTCCAGTAAAAATTAAAAAGCAGTGCTTTGTGTGTTTTAATAAACATTCCGAGCTTTTAATATTCATAAATTAATAAGCACGTCTACAAGTGAAAAATATCAAAGTCTTGAAATGGCTTCTTTCATGTATTAAAAAAGAGCCTATAATTTATTTATGCTTAGTCTATTATCTTGCTTAACTTTTGGTGTATAAAATTCAGAACCAGCAAAATTCCAAAGAAGAGAGAGATGCTACGCGAGCAAGCCTGAAAGATCTTCAGTTGCAACTTGAGGAAAGTGTATGTGAAAAAGAAGCCTTAAAAAAGCAGCTGGAAGAAAATGAGAAGGAACTCAGGCAAAACCTAGAGGAGTGAGTTAATTCTAGAAAAGTTATTCCTTGGAATTTGTACCTTTTCTTAAACCTCCTATAGATTAAAAGTACCTGTGTCTGCAGAATATGTTAATGGAATCAGGCAGAGTGATGTTTGTTATTGCAGGAAATGTTTCTACCATTTAAAAAAGGTGTATTTTTAGAATATCTGGATGGAAAAGAAAGATTGCTGAATTTGTAGTCTTCCTGTTAATGCATTTCATATTTCATGGTCATAATATATAGTTCAGGTCTTTAAAATATGGAAACACTTGAGTGCTTTAGTCAAGAATATAGTACCAGTTTCAAAATAAAACACAACTTTCCACTTAAATGTCCACTTAAAAGAGTTCTCATTTTTGCCCCTCTGACATTTCATTTTTCTGTCTCATTATATCCCATTACCTTGTGGGGAACATGGGAATAGGTACTTGCATCTTTTAGTACTTGAAAGAACAAATTAGTATTTCTACAAATTAAAAACTCCTGTCTGATTTTTCCTAAGGCTTTTTCAGGTGAAGATGGAGCAGGAACAACACCAGACTGAGATCAGAGATCTTCAAGACCAGCTCTCTGAGATGCATGATGAACTGGATAATGCAAAACATACTGATGAAGGGGAGAAAGAGGTTCTGATTGAGGTTAGTTACAAATTGTCAGAAGAAGGATGAAAAAATAATCGGAATTGCATAAAGAGCAGGAACTAAGATACAGATAGAAGAAATATGTGCCTTATCTTTTCCCATTCTGTCAATCTGAAAAAGAGTTAGGGGTTTTCTGTCACCTTGGGATGAAAGAGGAATTGGCTGTAGGCCTGATGATTATGAAATAGAGAACACTGCTTATTCCATTTGTTGATAAGAGTGTGTAGAGTATCAATGTATAGTGGTTCAAGAGGCAGATTAGAATTCAGAATGATCCTAATACTTTGGAGAACCAAAATAATGAACTTCTTTTAATACTAGTGCAAAGAACTAGCTTAAGAAATTAATGCTAAGTGTTAAAATGCAAAGTAGGGAGCAGAAGCACAGGCAACAGATCTTGGGAATATTAAAAATGTCTGTATGCAGGACATGCTGAGTATGTGCTGTGTACGTGTTTTGTGCACATGAGGTGTGATTACTCTCTGAAATTACTGTCTTTAATCTCAGACACTGCAGCTGAAAGTTGTACATAAGGGGAATGTCTGGAATGATGGTGATAGTACTGAAAAACATTACCTGTGAAGAAGGACTTTAATCTGAATGGTGGAGTGAGGGAAGATTCAAAAGCACATCGTATGGAATGGTGCTATAAAGGAGATAGTGATCCATTTTTCTGGGCTGTGTGGGGATAGAGTAAGAACTAAGAGACTTAGGTACAGAGATTGAAAGTAAGTACTGGAAACCATTTTTTAAAATTAATATGGATAATTAAACAGTAGAACGTGGCTAACTGGGACAGTAGTAGAATCCCTTTCAATGTAGACTTTTAAGGACAGAATAGATGACGTGTGGCAGTGCCACATCCTTCAGTGCAGGGGATATTTACATTTTCTTTGAAAGTGCAGTTATTTACAGCTTGAGAAATACCAAATTTGATAATTACTGAAGCTGTACATTTTCGATTTGCTGCTGTTGTTTTATTTTGTGTTTGTATACATGCACGTGTGTATTTATTCTTCAGATTCACTGACTGCCCACTTCCTTCCCAGCAGTTTGGAGAGGGGAAATGACTTGCAGGGGAGCGTAGTGCGAGGAGGAAGGATGTAAAGGCATGGACTCAGTTGGGAAGCATTTCTTTTGTCTTCAGAGCTTGCAGAAGCAATTTTCTCTATTCTTTACAGCCAGAAAGATGACAAGGAGTTGTCATTGGGTTCACTTCTCTAGCAGTGTGGGAAACAAAGGTTTTTCTTTGTTCTCTTCTACCTCTTTGCTGCAGGAGGTAGGACTGAGGGAGTTGTTAAATTGCAACTTTAGTTTGACTCCTGCTGTATTTACAGACAACATAACCTTTTCATAGTTTTGCATAATCAGATATGTTGACCCATCATATAAAACATCAGCTATATGTTAGAGTTTTAATGATCTTAGGATTTAGAAAATTTTTAGCTTACTATAAGAGCCATGAAAAATATGTTGGTCATACAAAATGAAGTTGGTCTTGGGGTGCTTATACTTGGATGCTTTCCTCCTCTAAAACACAAACATTGGAGCTATTTGTCATGCATTTATGTTTAATTTTGTTCTTTAGGAGCTGATGCAAATGAAGCAGGATCTGGAAGAAGTATTAATGGCAAAAGATCAACAAGAAGAGATTTTGAGAAAAAGAGAGAGAGAGCTTACAGCTTTAAAAGGAGCACTAAAAGAAGAAGTATCTAGCCATGATGTGGAGATGGATAAACTTAAAGAGCAACATGATAAAGAATTGCTTGATCTACAACAGAGCCTGGAGAAAGCAACAGAGGTGAAATAAGTGATTACAGTTAGTCTCTACAGGGAAAAATCATACCTCTCATGGATGTCCCCTTCTAGATGTTTTCAGATACTATTATTTTCTTAGCAGAACAAATTACCGGTAAAGATTTGGGCTAGGAGATTCTTAGCTGCTGATAAGAAGTTTTATTTCATACACTTTTATATTGCTTTGATTGCTTGTCACAGCTGAAGTTGTGGCCCTTTCTTCAAGCACTTATTACTATGTTTACTTCATTGCAAACTTTGAGATGGAAGAGGTGGGAGTATAGGACAGGGGAGCATTTCCTTGTCTTGTGTTAAATGGTATCACTGAAACCTTGAGGATGCCCTGAAGAGTGCCTGTGTGCTTTGCCAGTTGTGCTGTTGGAATTCAAGTTTTGCAGTTTGTAGCAGTTCTCTGCAGCCCACTGTTCCTACCTTCAACTCCTTGTGTCATGTCCTCTTCCCTGGTTATGTTGTCCCATCTTTTCATTTATTGAGCTTATCTTGTTTACTGAATGGTCAAATGAGTGCTAGAATAAGGGAAATGGCAGGGAGTGAGTATCTGGAAGTAGACAGGAGGAAAACAAAACTGAAGGAATTACCTCTTCCAGCATCAGCAG